TTTTAAGCTTTCTAAAATATTATTGATTTTCTACTTCTTAAAACCAAGAAGTAAAACATCCTTAACTTTCTCTCGGAAGATGCAATTCTCTTTGTTGATGTTTCGACCGGATCTGGGAGACCCTGTTAAAACACTCACAAACGGTAAAGACTGACGGACGGATGATATCGCATGCTACGGATCGGACGGACGCCTTTTCACTTGCTCTTGGCTGAGGGCTGGACGCGCTGGGAAGGGCCGAACGGGCTCTCGTCTTCAAGTCCTGGTTGTAGTATCTGTCCTCTCCCTCCTCGCTTTCCAAGCCGGGCAGTCGTGTACCTGTCAAAGGCACTCCGACGCTTAAGTCAGTAAGTAACGTGACCAAGTGGTCTGTAATGCATGTATATATTGCATTGTAAGCAATCTGTCCAGAACTCATACATGGAACCTTTATTTATACTGATTGTAATGGGCTTTTACCTTTCGTGGGCCTGATAACGGCCCAATCATACCTTAATCTTCGTTAAGGGCTTTAATGAGTCATTAGCGTTTAACCGTGTAGTCGACCAAGTGCGGGTCGGTTGGAAAGGATGGTCGGCCACGGATGTCAACCTCGGTGGGCGGCCATCTGGTTCTGCTGTCTGGTCACACTGGACGCTCGGTCCTAATTGCCCACCTGGGTGGACGTTCGGTTCAGGAATGGCCGACCTTGGAGGGTCACTCGGTCCATGTGTGGTCGGGCAGCGTTAACTTGGACGCTCGGTCTCGGTGTTCGACCCGGATGGACGTTCGGTTCATGAATGGGGAGGACCGGACGGTACATAAGTCCCCTAAGCCCGAGCATAATTTTATTATGCGAAGGGGTTTTGTCCCCGCCTGGATAGGCGACCTTGGGAGGATGACAGAATCGTTTTTCCTTGGACTCTGTCGACCGCTTATCTTGGTGTCGGACGATCGCTGTTAAGACGACCGCTATTGAGGGCGATTGACGTGTGCCCGACGAATGCCTCAATGGCATTATCTTTCATGATGACAGGATCGTCCTGTCTTGGAGGTTGACGACCGCTTACTGACGATCGCTTTGTTATGTACTCGTTAATACAGGGCCTGCATATTATTACTAGCCGACCGGATGAAGGCGACCTTGGAAGACCGCTCGTTTTATGTACAGTTGGTCAAAGGTCAGTCCTAGTCTGGACACTCGTTCTTGATGGTCGATCTGGATGGACGACCTTGGAGGACCGTTTGGTCTATGTGTCGGACGCACGGGCCGGTACACAAGCCCCCTAAGCCCAAACATAATTTTATTATGCGAAGGGGTTTTGTCCATGACTCTCCTTGAAAGAATGAGTTCTCTAGTTGGGCATCGCTTCTAAGTCGCCTCTGTTAGGAGGCCGAGGACCTGAGGCCAGTTAGTGACTGTCATCGATATAGATTACCACATCTTGTCCAGACGAAAATATGTCTGAGGGGACTGCTCTTTAGATAGACGAAAATGATTATCCAAAGGTGTGCTAATTACTTTAGTGTCTCTCATGTTGAATCTCTGCAAAACACGATTAATGTACTCTACCTGAGATTTTATTGTTTACCAACAGCAACTCTAATATTTTTGTGGTGATACTTGCATGTACATATAATTTTATTGCACAAACAATTAGATTATCTTTTTGACCATCTAGTATATGGGAGAACACTCATAATATCTTTTGAAGTTAGTTTCTCTATCTATAATGATGATGTATATATCTAGATGAGGTTTTATCTAAAATTCTATTAGAAATATCTTTGTAACGAAAGCAATAACTTTTAAAAGATGACTGATGCATCTTTAAAATTATTTTAGGAGTAAAACTTTTTTATTTATATGTGCATATGAATTTTAAAGGGCCAAATATATTCTAATATATATATTGCTAACATGCGTACGCCTGTTTTTCAGTTGGTACATTTTAGCAATGTGTACCGGGTTTTAATAGGCAAAAATATCCTTATATATCATGGATTCTAAGTTTTAAGGTTAAGGATATTTTAATAATTTTCTTTCTCAAAAGTAAAAAAAAGAAACCCTCAAACCCTTGCTTACCTCCCTCATTCCTCTCAACCATTTCTCTTTCATCTCTCTCACTCCAACATTTTCTTTGTCATCCTATGGTAGCCCCAACTGAAAAAAATTAGAAACACTGGTTGTTTAAACAATCTTACAAAAAATGATTTTATAATGAGTTTTCATTTTATAATTTTTGTCTTATTAATTTTATCCAATTTTCACAAGCATAAAGGAATTGGTAATTGACTTGGAAAAAATCAGAAATACTTACTGCTAAACAATTTCTTACAAAAAAACATGATTTTATAACGAGTTTTCATTTTATAATTTTTGTCTTATCTAATTTTATCTAATTTTTACAACCATAATGACATCAAAGGAATTGGTAATTGGCCTGGAAAAAATCAGAAATACTCCTTGTTAAACAATTTCTTACAAAAAATGATTTTATAATGAGTTTTCATTTTATAATTTTTGTCGTATATAATTTTATCTAATTTTCACAAGCATAATGAATCCGAAGGAATTGGTAATTGGCCTGGAGGTTTTTTTAGAGATGATGATTCAACATATACAGATGATTAAATTAGAGAAATTAGTGAAGATGATGAAATTGAAGAGATCTTGGATGAACCTTTGTCTGAAGGTGAATATGTCAATGACTTAACTCTTTACAAAGACAATTTGTTTAATGGAAGTGTTTCTGATTTTTTTCAATTGGGGCTACAGCAGAGATGACAGAGAAAATGTTGGAGTGAGAGAGATGAAAGAAAAAGGGTTGAGAGGAATGAGAGAGGTGAGCAAGGTTTTGAGGCTTTCTTTTTTTTTTAGTCTTGAGAATGAAAATTATTAAAACTTAGAATCCATGAAGAGTATTTTTGTCTACTAAAACCCGGTACAGTGGCTAAAATGAATCAACTGAAAAACAGGTGTACGCGCGTTAACAAACCCATATATATATATATATATATATAT